TCCATTATGGAGGGGTAGTTGTAAACTACGCTACCACCCACAATCACCCCCAAACTAACCTTTAGTCACATGGTTGGATAGAGGATGATGAGCTGTCCTCCCACATCTATCCCTATCTCATCCAGAAATTGCTTGTAAAGAAACAAAAGGTTTACTTTTTTTGTGTTATAATGACATATTACTCTATATTGTCTAGTTCTCGTTAAGTGATTAATGATAGGGATGATATCGTTTATATATACACATATATAGAGCCTTGAAAGTGAGCTAATGATGAATTATTATCCATATTATCACTAATGAACTGTAAATATGAGCTTATGAACACTTTAATACTATGGTCTGTCCAAAACTTCAGTGGGCTCGTGAATAACTCGACAACGGATTGAGCTAGAGAACAACGGTTTTCAGATTATGAAAGAGTACGATCGGGAGCATAATTCTATGGCAAAATGAGTCTTCTCCGACAGATCTATCATGGTGTACTCTTCGAAGCAAAAAGTCCGGGTCTGTCATTCCAGAAATACACATAGAGAATTATTGCACTAAATGCATACCGGTATAGAAGAAATATCGCTCTGCAACGTGGGACAAGTCCCACACCTCCATCTACCATGGTCCAGATACTACAGGGAATCTCCGAGGACCAATCTATTGGCCAACTCTGAGCTCTAGAAACTTCAAAAACATCTGATACATATGTTATCGGACACGCTGATTACTGTGGCAATGTTTATTTTATATCCGGGTTAAGAAAACTACAATAAATGACCTTTTTAGAAAATATGATTTGAGTATGGTCACAGTGAAAAACTTGTTGGTATTATGATGGTATATTATTGTATATTGTCTATTTCTCTTTAAGTGTATGGTGGTAGTAATGATATCGTTTATCTGTACACATATACAGAGCTTTCAAAGTCAGTTGATGATGAATTATTGTCAATGTGTTTTATCTATTTATCGCTAATGAACTATAAATATGAACTTATGAACTCTTTAATACTAGTAAAAGAAAACTGAACAGATATGCATCACTAATTGAGATAAAGCATAGATATATATATGATACAAAAGACAAGTTCTTGTTTTGAATATGGTACACTTTCTTTTCTCCTCATATATGTGTATTGTTACCATTGCTCTATATATACATACATATCATTAGAGTGAAGTTACACTACTTGATGCTCATCACAAATTGTTGTTCTATCAAGACCGCCAAGTTTATAAACAAGAACTGAAAGCTATACCTGAATTACTTATACATCAAAATGTAGAAAAAGAGAAGAACAAACATACAAACATACGGATGAAATGTGATGGCCAGCTGTATTTATCTACATGAGATAATGAATATTTACACCTTTCAGTACACATGTACGCCATATAGAATAATTGGTCAGAAGGATAAGAACAGCTTAAAAATGGAAATTAAATCTTTCCTTCATATCCTGAAGTTTCCTGTCTTCATTCAGCATATAGAAACAAGTGACTTTAATTTAGTGATAGAAAATCGACTATATCCCAGTCGGACTACAGAGAACGTCCTCTATATTTAGATTGGGATGTAGTCGATTTTTTTGACAACGTTTTGATCATAAAAGGGGTTCTATCAAAGTCTTGTTGTTATTAGAAAAATTACAGTAGTCTTTATCTTTCTACAGCTGTAAAAGCAGAACTGAAAGCTATACCTGAATTACTTATATACCACAATGTAGAAAAAGAGAAAAGAGAAGAACAGCTATAGAAAGATAAGGACTACTAAAATTTTTCTAATAACGACAAGACTTTGATAGAACCCCTTTTTTGACGAAAAATTGTCAAGTAGATAAATACATCTGACCATCATATTTCATCCGTATGTTTGTATAGCTCTTCTTCTCTCTTCTCTTTTTCTCCATTGTGATGTGTAAGTAATTCAAGTATAGCTTTCAGTTCTTATTTGCAGTTTTTATTTAATAAAGAAATTATATAACCACATCTAAAGGCTAAGACCTTTGAACAATACTAAAACCGGCGATTTGAGATAGAAATGCTTAATATGGCTATTCAACAACAGCACACCAATTTAACTTGCTGCGAAGAACTGAAACAATCATTGGGTCCAAGAGCAAAAGTGTTTTTGCCGACGACAGATGGCTATTCGCAAGCAAAAAGAATATGGAATGGCATGTTTGACAATCATAGTCCAGCACTGATAGTTCAGGTGACCGGTGTTGCTGATGTTCAAGCTGTTCTGAAATTCGCACATCAACGTGAGCACATCCAAATTAATCTAAAAACCATAACTCATATAGTGTTTTATGTCGTAGAAGGATTAACTGTAACTGCTAAGGCCGGCGGTCACTCATTTGCAGGCCTTTCCACTATTCAGGACGGTATCGTTATTGATTTCATTCAAATGAAAAGTAAGCTAAATTTAACAAAAAGAGAAGAACCACACCATATCGTTGTTGGGTTTTTAGCTGTCATTGTGAATCCAGGGAAAAGAGAAGTCCTTGTTGAACCCGGCGTTCTACTTGCAGAGCTAGATCATGAAACTCAAGCGTTCGGTTTGGCAACTCCAACCGGTATTTCCATGTGTATATCCACTTGGGTTTTTGTTCAATTTTTTTTGAATTATTTAGGAGTTGTTAGTTATACTGGTGTGTTTGGTCTAGTGCTGGGAGGAGGTGTTGGTTGGCTTTCGAGAAAATTTGGTGCATCGGTTGATAATATTTTGTCTGCGAATGTGGTTTTAGCCAATGGAAAACATGTGACCGCTTCTGCAGATGAGAATCCTGATTTATTTTGGGCTTTGAGAGGTTGTGCTTCCAATTTTGGTATTGTTACTTCATTGGTATTGAAAGCTCATCCAATTGGATTATGTTATCGAGGAAATTATGTAAGTATATGAACTATTATGTATCTACAAACCATATAACATGTGTATACTTTAATAGTGTTACCCTATGTCTCAGATCAGAGAAATTTTGTTGGGTGTAAACAACTACTTCAAGACAGCACCAAGAGAATTCAGCTGTGAACTATTCAATGCAGGGCTGACTGAAGGGGACCGAGAAATGTATCTTATGGTATCGTATACGTTTTATTTGCCAGAAGGTGAGGCTGAAAAAGTGGCCGAACCACTAACAAAACTTGGATTCCCAGTTCAAGAATCTTGGGTGTGGATAACTCATGTACAAGTAACATAATTGCTCATTTTATTACCCTAGCATTTGCTATAAATTCATTGTAAGTTTTAGAATCAAAAATTATTTGATGCTAAAGTCTTGGAACATCGAAAATATTATGCCAGATCAGGGTCAATTGATTTCGATGATATGACAATCGACTTTGTGAATTCTGTTGTTGAATCGATAAACACTTTAACTTCACCTTATTCATTCGTCGAATTAGTTGCTATTGGTGGTATTATGAAAGAAATATCAGCTGATGAAACTTCTTACTTCCATTTGAGAAAACAAGATTGGCTGGTTAATATAATTACATCGTGGTGTGAAGGCAATGGTGATGAACATATAAATTGGTGTAGAGAAACATTCAGAAAACTGCATGCAAAAGCGCCAGCAGCTTATTTGAATTTAGTGATGATGGATCCGCCCACTAACACTACTTATAAGGAACAATTGAATAATGCATTTGGATCAAATCTAAATAAATTAAGAATTATTAAAAAGAAATATGATCCGTTTAATTTTTTTCGTCATAATCTAAATCTGTTACCAGCAGATGATAATAACGATAATTAAATTACAACTGCGATTGTTAGTTAGATGTTGCCGTAGCTGCGGCTCTTTTTGTTGAGAATGAAAATTGTATTTTCGAAACGTCGAATTTTAATAAAAATTAAATAATGGAATTAAAAACAGGTGCTCTTATTATCTCTATAGTTTTAAAATTTTTACCAGTTAATAAACGTAGCATTAAAAATTTTGGTATTTTACTGATATTGAAAAATTATTCTTTAAAAGTACTAATAAAAAAAAAGTATCTTTTTTACAATATTTATCATTTAATAATAAGAGTGTTAGTTGTGATGATGTATTAGATCAGATGAAAATCTATTACGTTTAGAAAATTTATTCTGTACGACAAGAAATATCTGATGTACAACTTGCGAAATTTTTAAAATTACATTCGAAAAATATTGATGTTAATTATGATGATAAAACAATAGGTATACTAGCTATCCTAAGGGAACGTTTCAAAATGTATTCCGATCGGTCGGTCACTATTCCCCGACTATTCCTCTATTCTGCTCTTCCTCTATTCTCCAGTTATTCCTCTATTATAGAATTTAAATTCTAATTTATTTTATCTTATTTTGTATAATTCGGTTTGTTTGATTGTATTGTTGATACATACATCGGCATATATGTTGTAGCCAAAACTGGAATTCAGTCAAATCTTAGATTTATCTAGCTAAAACTAAGATTCCACTTTTGGCTACCCAAAACTGAGATCAGTCAAATCTGAGATATAACTAGTCAAAAAGTGGTATATCAATTAAAACTGAATTTAACTACAGTATTATCACGCTCTTGGTTTGTTTCTCGGCTATAAACTACAGATGTATTTCGTAGGATGATTTTTTTCTATATTCTGTAGCTTATAGCCGATACTTATCTACTTAACCGCGTAAAGGTGGCATGATATCTAAGTAGTACTGTTTTTTGGGGGATTTTGGTTTTTGTTTTCCATCTCTCTTCAT